GCCAATGGGCGTTGCTTGTCAACCCCTTAGGACTCATAAATTGAGCTAACCTCGATGAGGACGTCAAGTTTCAAAAGGTGTGGGTGGTTTGTTAGACCTCAGCCACTTTGAGTTTGACTTGACAATGAGAGCGTTGTCATGAGGCAGCAAGAGTGTTGCAAGGCAGGTGCACGAGTAGCACCAAGTTAAAAAAGGGAAACGGGCAAGTGATGACCAAGGCTTTGACGGAGGCGAGGCAGCTTGGCAAGGGCTTGACATTGAGTTGCTGGCTGAGGATGACACTTGATCATGGAAAAGACATCAAGGCATAAGGCATTCATGCCAAGGCAAGGCAAAAACGAAGTGGCAAAGGCAGGCCAAAGTGCAACGGAAAGGGAGTGTGCAGGCAGACTTGTCATGGCATTGAGTTGCGGTAAACTGGACAAGTTTGTGGGCAATGGCATAGACAAATTGTGGCTACAATGCAGCTGAGTACATGGCATTGGCGCCTAGTTCAAGCTAAGGCACAAAATTGGGCGGCAAGGTTTGGGTTGACTAAGTCAAGGACGGTTACGGCACATGCTGTGCACATGGGCAGCAGTTGATCTTTGCTAAAATGTTGCCTGGAGTGCTAGCACGTTTTTTGGGCCATGATCCCACTATTCTTTAGCATGATTTACATGATCCTAGTAGTTGGGGGTTGTCAACTACACTAGGCTAAAGTAATGAGCTGAGTGGGCAAGTGTCTAAACCTAAAAATGGGCAAAGAGGGTTGTCTCATGCTATTATAAAATGAGCAGCACCCTTATGCTTTTGTATGAGAGAAAAACGTGTGGAGTGCACAATTGAGTTAGAAAAGAGTCCTAAGTCTGTTTTCAAAGAGTGAAAACGTTTAAGACTAAGAGTAGTCTTGTGAGGGTCAAGAGCGATCTTCTTTTTGTACCCGAATGTACCTTGAGTTGAGTTTCTTTGTATGCTCGAGTTAAATACAAAGTTGGGAAAAGAGTTTCATGTATAGTGTGCCTTGTGTTCATCTATATTTTCTGTCCCTTCATTTATTATTCGTTGCCTAAAATCAATCCTAACTTACTATATTGAAAAACAACCTAAATTATTCTAAGTCCAAAGTTACTGAAATTTTAGCTAAGTATTGGAGCAGGCTGAAGTCAAGTTGAGACTTGGCTGCCGCACGGGCTGTTTTTGTGTGACATAAAACACGCCTGTGACATCCAGGACCATAAAAATTTCGACCACATGGAATATACAAACATTTGGTTTCATTCAAATTCTGCCCCAAAATATATTGAATATGTTAAGGATTTTACCCTCACAAACTCACGGGCAACACTCAACAGGATGCTATCTGTAAAGCCATTCGTAAGTTATTACACTTTCTCATACTTATGGCCTTACAATTAGATTTATGCGTCTAACATTTTGCTTCTAAACTTACTCCAAATAATTTTTTTTTTGTGAACTAATTCATTGATCCGCCAAATGTTTTGATGGTTTATTTGGTGGCTATGGAGTAGTACTTATGTTTTTGATATCTTTGTTGAAATTATAAGCACTAAGTGTAAAGAGAAATATGGACATATGGTTCGAATCAGAAATTTGATTTCTTAATTTGTAATGAAAACTGAAATATTTATTATTTGTTTAGTGTACTAGAAAAGAATTAAGAACATAAAAACCAATGTTATATTGTTCCTTTTGTGTGAAGTCAACTAGTCAAGCATAAAGCTGTAGAACTTTGGATAGTACTTTAGACCGTCAATACTATACTCTAATTTTCGTGATTTGTATGCTATCTTCACAAATTATTTTTTGTAACGTACATGCTATCTTCTTTCGGTTAATAATTGAAGTGACCGTGCAAAAAAACTTTTTAAGAATGGATGGAAACCGCTTAACCTTATGTATGAACGAGATATAAGTTCTATAACATACAAGATAACAAAATCAGAATATAAGGTTTAATGGTTTATCATCTAAGAGCTTATGAGTAACATTATACCAATGAAAGGGTAACTACAAATATACCCAAATAATAAAGAAATATTAAGAAAGATACGATTAAATAACATACTTTTACCTTATAAACTAAGTTAATGCAATCACAAATTATAAGTAGCTGTTGTGATCCTTTGGAGGGATAAGTAATGGCCAATTACGTGTTGATTCAAATATTAGTTTACTAATAATAGTAATTTATAATATACATTAAGTACTTATAGTTTGTTACCTTGACAAATGTTAGTGTTAGAACAAATATGCGATTAAAGTTTTACTATTTTTATATAAATTATGTGATATTTAACTTGAGATATTCGTGCAATGTACAATATTAGAGCCGACTCAAAAGGCTTGGTAAATAAGGCATATGCCTTAGGCCCCCAAATTCAAGGGGGGCCAATTTTAGAAGCAATAAGTTATGTGTTAGTTTTTCCTTTAAAGTGTTTAAGCATTTTATAGTGAAAATTTATCGTTGTGAAGTTGATGTGATTGTTGAGGAATAGAAAAATCATCTAATAAAGTAAACATATCTTTATAATTTTTTAAACTTGATGTAATCTTCATTTTTTTTATATACATTTTGACCACTAAAACCTATAAGTATTTTTATTTTAAAATTGAGATTGCTGAATGATGAGAATTTGAAAGGAAAAAATATTGTTAACCTTTGATGATCCTTAAAGCATAATAGCTATTCTAATGTTGATGACTTAGACTTATATTTTGAATTAAAAGTGTTAAAAGAATTAGTACAAATAGAAAATAATACATTAACCAATATATTTAATTATATACGAAGATTTGATTTATTTTAAAATGTCTACCAGTTGTCTCAATGGAAAGAAGTTTTTCAAAATAAAAATATATAAGATCAACGTTTCAAGAGTGATTAAATCGATTAACTATATTATTAATAGAAAAATAATTACTAAAAATCAATTATAAAAATTTGGGCCTCTAATAGTGATAATGCTTTAGGCCTTCAATTATGTCAAGCCGGCCTTGACTGATATAGGATGATTTGCTGATGATTAAGGTTTAAAATTGTGGAACCAAAGTATAATAGATGACAAAATTGAGCAATTTCTATTACCTAGATTTTATATGCTTGCTCCTTTATTCAAATACTAGTTTTAGAGTACGCGCTTTGCGCGTGTACCCCGTCTTAATGAATAAAAACTTTTAAAAATGACATGAACATCATATTAAAATTATGTTTCAATTATAAAATAAAGGTTAATTTTTTGTTGTTGTTGTTGTTGTAAATTTATGAAATGATGAGTATTTATCCTATTTAACTATCTTAATAAAGGAAGAAACGCTATCCCATATAAGCCCTAACTCATCATTAACCTTAAAATATATTCAAATTTTATAATTTTACTACTTCAAATTTACAGTTGAACTTACTTTTTAGTTACAGTAAAAGCACGTAACCCTTGCATATTTTAGAGATTTCTTTTTTACAATACATATATTCTAAAGTTCATTCTAAAATAACAGAAACATAGTCATTTAACTTACACAAAACGTTTATTTCCTCATGAGCAAAATGCAAAATATTCGATTACTTTAATCAATAAAAAATAATATATAAGACTTATTTTCAATATATTAGAAAAGATAAATTATTATTGCAAAAGTAGAATAATTAACTAACTAAATTACGGTTAATCTATAAAAAAAATTTACTTTTAGTCGGAGCTTTCTTTCTTTGTCCAAATGCATAATTATGCATCCCAAATGTTAGCCTTATGCATCAGAAAATTATTTTTCTATGAAAATAAAAATAAATGGTTGTATTTAGATTTCTTGATAGATTATATTAAAAGAGTTCGAATATAAAATTTATGTTAAGATCAAAATTAAAATTTATTTTTTTTCATCAATTAATACAATGTATCATTTTAGTGTCAAGAATATATGATTATATTTAGATTACTTGATAGATTATATTAAAAGAGTTCGAATATGAAATTTATGTTAAGATCAAAATTAAAATTTATTCTTTTCATCAATTTATACAATGTATCATTTTAGTTTTCTTGTTTTGGTTCTCATTTAAATAGGAACCTTTTAAACTTAAGTTCGATTTAATTCAAAAATATATTTTAATTGCTTATATTTCCTAAAAGCATTTTGAGAGAAATTTTAAAAGAATACTTTGATTGTTAACTTCTATTGTATTATGATTTCTTATGTAGTTGAATTTAATTTTTATTCCCGTTAAATACATATAAATGATTTTCTACCAGTTATAATCTCGGTTTCTTTTTTATTTTGTTTTGTTTCATGTATAAAATGGCACATGCTTTACATTACTTGGAATTGTGAGATAACTACAATAATAATAACCTGTGAATCAAACTTGAACTAAAGAAAATATCAATTGAAGGAAATTAATTTTTTATTCCCCATAACAACTTTGTTTTGTCATGTTAAATTGTTGGGAAAGATAACGTGAACTTCTCATAAATACAAATGGAGTTAAAAGAGAAAATTTTGTTAAACAACAAAAATCCGCCTAACCTAAAAGGAGTATAAAGTAATCGAGACTACCCTATTGTGAATTGAAAGCTTATTTAGTACTCCTAAATCTTAATGGAAAGTGTAGGAATTCTAGAATTGGAAGAAACCGTCCCAAATAATAGGAAAAATATTAAATAATTATTCCTAAATATTAGGAAAATTAACCAAAGTACAAATTTTCTTTTTAAAGGGTAAAAAAGTCAAACAATATTTCGATAAGGACTTTCGTGTTTAATATAGTATAGATAATTACCAAATTTGGAACTTTTTGGAAAATTATAAAATGTACTTCGTCCTCCACCCCACCCCCTCTCAACTAGCTGCATGACGGAAGCGCTGATGGACACATCACACACTGACCATAAAACAATGCTACATCAGACTTTGCATTCGAATTCCAAAACACGTCCAGGTTCAATGAACCTACAACCTCGCCCTTTTTTCTGGTCCCTTTATAATCCTTACCCTCAATTCTCTCTCTCTAAATCTTGAAATACCCTGCCAAAAATCACATCAATTTCATTGTAACTTAGAGAATTCTGCAACAAATTAAGCTTTCTTTGCTGTAAATTACTCTCTTCCATTTGGAAAATTCTTTGTTTTATAACATCTATTCGAGAAATGGCTTTGGCTTTCACTTCTTCAACTGCAATTCATACCTCTCTTTCTTCGTCTTCTTATGAACAACCCAAAGGTACCCATTTCTGTATCCTTTCCAAGTTTCAATTTTTTACACTTAAAATGATAATTTTATCATCTGGGGTTCAATTATTTTTCCGTTTCTTGGATTTTTTTCCTTACATTTTCTGTTTTTTTTTAATCTTTGCAGTATCCCAATTGGGCAACTTTCAGCTATTGGATCAGCCACAAATTCCTTTGAAAGCATTGAATTTTTCTCAGAGGCGTTGTGTGGTGAAGCCATTAAACGCTGAGCCTAAAAGGAATGAGTCGATAGTTCCATCAGCAGCAACAATTGCTGCTCCTCTACCTGGTATGTTGAGTTTTCATGACTTTGTGGTTGTAATTGATTGGATTTATAAGAAACTGATCGATTTGTTTTTGTTTTTGTGGTGAATATGGCAGAGGTGGAAGAGAAAGTAGAGGCAGAGGACTATGAGAAACTGGCGAAGGAGCTTGAAAATGCCTCACCTCTTGAGATTATGGATAAGGCCCTTGAAAATTTTGGAAATGATATTGCCATTGCTTTCAGGTACATCTTGTTCCTTTCCTGTACTAGTGATGCTCTGTTCTTGGTTGTATTTTTGTCTAATTAATGTGAGAGCTTCCAGTTGATACACTTTGGACCAAATAGTTGTCATATATAATGCTTAATTGTGCTTATGCTTCCAGTTAATGTGCATGCTAAGTTGAAAATTAGGAATAGATGAGATTCATGAGAACCCCATGAAAGTAAAATACAAGAACTTTTAAGATTGAAAAGGGATTATAGCAATTTGAAGGAGCTAAAACTACTAGGTAATTTCTTCTCATCTATCTGTGCCTTTGCGGACAGAGTTAGCGGATACTTGTGTTGGTTGGAGGTAGTAGGTACCCGGTGAATTTAGTTGAGGTGCATGTAAGCTGGTTCAGACACGACCCTTTTCAAAAAGAAAAAGAAAGAGTTAACTTCATGATTCGTGTAAATCAAATAGGTTATTCGTGTATATTGTTTTAGCTTTTGTGTATGTTTTGAAAATTTCTATTCGGAATAACATGGGTAAGGAACGTTCTTGAATGAAATGCATTCTTGTATACTGGATTATTGAATCTGTGTATGCGAAGCTAGTGCAAAGTTTTCTTCTTTTATGTTATTTCACATGTGAATTATTTGTAGAAGTTGATCATATTCCCAACATGAAAGTTTCCAATCAATGTCATTGATTTTGTATTGATTGCTTATGCCCAAAGGATCTCGTGTTGCTCTACAATTTGCTGGTTTTATCTATATAGCAGTCTGCTTAATTCCCACTAAAATTTTCCTATAGATGGTCCTTTCTGCCAATTGATTTGTTGGCCATATACCAGATATGGAATTAAGTTCAGAGTCGTGATATATGAGCAGTTTTACTTAAATACCAGAATCTTATCTGATATTTATTTTATGGTGATTTCCAGTAAGGTGCATCTCAGAACATTACATTTTCTTGCAGTGGTGCTGAAGATGTCGCTTTGATAGAGTATGCTCATTTAACCGGTCGACCATTTAGAGTGTTCAGCCTTGATACCGGGAGGTTGAATCCAGAGACCTACCAACTCTTTGATGCTGTCGAGAAGCACTATGGTATTCGCATTGAATACATGTTTCCTGATGCTGTAGAAGTTCAGGCCTTAGTGAGGAGCAAAGGTCTTTTCTCATTCTATGAAGATGGCCACCAAGAATGCTGCCGTGTTAGGAAAGTTAGGCCCCTGAGGAGAGCCCTCAAAGGCTTGCGTGCCTGGATCACAGGGCAACGAAAAGATCAGTCCCCTGGAACTCGATCTGAAATTCCTGTTGTCCAAGTAGACCCCGTTTTCGAGGGGTTGGATGGTGGAATTGGAAGTTTAGTGAAGTGGAACCCGGTGGCTAATGTGGACGGCAAGGATGTATGGAACTTCTTACGTGCGATGAATGTACCTGTGAACTCTTTGCATTCAAAAGGTTATGTCTCCATTGGATGCGAACCTTGCACAAGGCCAGTCCTACCCGGACAACACGAGAGAGAAGGAAGGTGGTGGTGGGAGGACGCCAAGGCCAAGGAATGTGGCTTGCACAAAGGAAACATCAAAGACGAAAATGTAAATGGTAATCGTAACAGTGCTGTGCAAGCAAATGGTAGTGCCAATGTTGCTGATATTTTTGACACTAAGGACATTGTTACCTTGAGTAGACCTGGAATTGAGAACCTATTGAAATTGGAAGACCGGAGAGAGCCTTGGCTTGTTGTTCTTTATGCTCCGTGGTGCCGCTTCTGCCAGGTAATTTATCATCTAATTTTATCGTATATACCTGCTAACTCCCACAAGCACATTTTCTGCACAACTTTGTTGACTAAGGTTTAGGCAGGCGATAAAAATCACCAACATTTTATTTTTCATTTTCAAGAATGCTTTGTGGGATTAGCTTGATGATGTTTCTTTTCATTTCCTGCAGGCAATGGAAGGATCATATGTGGAATTGGCAGAGAAGTTGGAGGGTTCTGGTGTGAAGATTGGGAAGTTCAGGGCAGATGGTGAGCAGAAAACATTTGCACAACAAGAGTTGCAGCTTGGCAGCTTTCCCACAATACTATTCTTTCCTAAGCACTCTTCACAGCCTATTAAGTACCCATCAGAAAAGAGGGATGTAGATTCCTTGATGGCTTTTGTGAATGCTCTTAGGTGAAGGCAAAATGTTGCTTCACATTCTTTACACAGAGTAGTAAAATAGAAGAGGGACTTGAGTTGTGGAATATAGTGCTTGTATATTTATGGTATATGGTCCCTCAGTTTTTATTTCAATATTTTAGATTTTTTTTTCTATGCTTTCCTCAGTCAAAAGGGTCTATTTCTCCGGCCTCAATTTTGTGGATCTTCTTGCTCTTGTTGCTTTGTCAATATACAAGTCTTTCTCCTCATTTCTCTCTCTTTCTCTATTTCTTTTATGATAAAATGAGTATGAATAATGTGAAGAAATATCCACGTTAATCTGGTTGGCTCACTTGATTCATTGGATCAATTGCATTGAGAATGTGACAAAACCAATTAGATTACTAGCCTGTTTGACCAAGCTTCTAAAATCAGCTTATTTTGAGAAGTGTTTTTCTCAAAAGTACTTTTAAAAAAAAGTACTTTTGACGGAAAAAATAGTTTGTGTTTGGCTAATTAATTAGAAAAACACTTTTGAGTAGTAATTAGTATTTGACCAAGCTTTTGAAAACTGCTTCTAAGTGTATTCTTCTTAAAAATGCTTCTCAGAAAAGTGCTTTTGGAGAGAAGCTATTTTTTTCTGTTTCTCCGTAAAAGCACTTTTTTCATTCCAAAAGCTTGGCCAAACAGGCTATACTCGTCACTTGCACAATGCGCGGTGCTTCGGTTAGCCATCTAAAAAGCCATCTAAAAATTCTTAACACGGAGCGCTTCCTCTTCAGTGAAATTAGTCACAGGTTGAAAAACAATATGATAGCAATGAAAAGACTAAAAATTTGATATTAATATTTCAAGTATTGCTATTTGGAGGTCTGTTGACAGTAAATCAAGAGATGAGGCAGTGGGCTTAATGTGGAGAAAGATTGTTATAAGCAATAGTAAATCCAGGATGTGAAGAACGGCCAAAAATGGGACATAAGGAACATTGGTTAAGGAAACAACGGAACATAATAAAAGTTCCACATTGCCTGTCGCAATCTGCATCTGTCTCGCATGGAAAGCAACACTGTTTTTGGGTTTCAGCCTTCCTCAACATACCTGTCAAAATCAATGTAAAGGTTACATGAAAATTTTGACGGAATAAATAGATAATGATATAAAGAAGAAGAAGAAGAAAGAATTAACCTAAATAGTAGATGTATAATATGTGTATAACTATGTATAATTAGTTTATAATTTATATATAGCCACTTGAAAAAGTAAATAATGAAACTGACCGGCTATTCATATGAAGATTCACTGATATAATTCGTTCAATGTTTGTTAGGATCATAACGGATTTAAGTCAGTGGGACTAAACAAGTAGTCTAGATCTAATCGGTTATTAATTCGTGTAGATTTACAGAAATGTTCTTGTTTCAAGCCACTGTTTAGAACTTTTCTTATTTAAAGAAGTTGTGCAAATATAGCCCTTCAAAAATTATTTCTTTCGGACAAGATTAGATTTGTGTATAATGTTTGATTGTTTGTCGTAGTATGTTTTAGTTTGCTCACAAAGATTACACTGTAGTCTAAAATAAAATTTGCAATAACATCCAATATATTAGATTGTGATCTTTAACGTTTTCTTAAAAAAAATTAATTTATTCAAGAATCTTTAGACCGTGATCTAAAAGGTTCAATTTTGCAAAAGATTCTTTTCTCCATAAAAATTTTACAATGCACTTTATTTGGTCGTCGCCATTTAACCCCCAATTTTTAAAATTTATAACTGGTACCCAATTTAAATATGCCTTTAGATAACGATGCTTCTTCTCCGCTTCTTCTTCTCCTGTAGATTTCTATTTATTTTGGACTAATCTCAAAGGAACAAATTAAATTGAGGTATCATGAGTGAAATGAATGAAGAAACAAGTCAAACTTGAGACAAAAATATCTGAAGTTATTTCAGTTAAGCCAAACTTCAATTCTTTCAGAAGTTTGCTTCTGTCAAGTCAAACTTTAGACATAGCTTTTCTCAAGCCAAAACTTAGGACATTTATTTATGGAGTGAAACTTTGGTAAGGCTAAGTTCATACCCATTTTATGTTTGAAGTTTGTAACTTGAGATAGTGGATTTTTCCAACTTCAGACCAGTTCGTCTAAAATAGATCTTAAAATAGGTAAGCTTACAAATTTTTGTACCCTATAGGTATGACTTCAATGTTAAACCCATCGATTTAATTATATTTGCACTTTCCCTTTCTACTTTAAAGAGATGCTGATTATTTTTCAAGCAGACCATTCGGAAATTAGAACAAAAAATTTATAGGAAGAAGACTTACCAATCACCACGATAATGAGAAGAAAAGGAAACAATTTTGAAGCCATTCCCACAGTTTCTATCTTAAGGTAGAATAGACAGTGATCCGAATGAGTCTATTTTGTTTATGGGGTGTACCATATTTATAAGATTGATCCATGCCAAACTTAACAAACAATATTAATAGATTCCTCATGGACTGGATTACTTTGTGATTGTTTCATATATTATATATTAGTAATAGCTATGGTTAGTTATTAATTTACATCATTATCACCATCTAACATACATCATGTGTGAGCACCTAATTTTTGATCATATTTGAAAATTTTATCACTTTTTAGTATTTAAATATTTTTATGTTTAGTTTTGGCATTTAGAACTTTTGTTTTTACTTTTAGTAAAGTTTAGTTGATAAAATTGAAAACCACAAAAATATTTTATATTTTTTCAGAGTAGTAGCTTTTGTTTTTATTTTTGTAGAAAAGAAAAAAAAGTTTTCAAAAATATATTTTTATTTTAGTTTAGTGTATTTTCTAAGTTAGAGTCTTTTAAGAAATAAATATTGAGTATGTTGTAATTTTATGTTTATTATTATTACCAAGTAAAGAAAATCAATAAAAAAGAAAAGAGCCAATGAATATTCGCCAATTGGCAAAGATTCTCCACCATCACTTTGTAACAAAATTTATCCTCTCCTCGCATGCACTCACGTGATCACACACAGAGGCTGAGTCAGGATTTGAAGTTTATGGGTTTGAATTTTCAATCAGTTTAAACTACTGGGATCTAAATTACTAATTTGTATATATTCAATGGATTTCTCAAGACAAACATAGAGTTTGAATCAAAGTTGCTGGGTTCGGCCGAAACCGCAACCGCAAGGCTAGGTCCGCTCCTGATAACACACCTACACATTCACATTTTATTCCCTCACAAGAATTCCCCAACGGATTCCCGGTCCTTCTCCCCTAGCCAAAGCCAACTCATTTTGTTACTCCTCACCCTCTGTAAAAATATTCCATAAGGGTCCTCTTTGTTGGGAAAACAATATGCCGCCCAGGAACAATATCTACGATAAATAACAATAAAGTAAGAGAGTAATAAAGACATCAAATTTTTGAAAGGAGTAAAATACAATACCCGAGCGAAGCAATATTACCACTATAATATTACAACTGAGTAGTGTCAAGAGACTTCTACAACTTCAAAAGAAATAACACTCTTTATTTTAAATACCTCACAACAATATTACTCACACTCACTATTTATCTCACCGACCACGATCTTTGGATTACTCTCTCTAACTTCTGTTACTTCTCTATACTTTTTGGTGTATTTGAAGAAGTGAGAGAGCTCCTCCATTTATAGGAGAAAATAACCTTGGGCTCCAAGTGTGCTACATGAGAATTTTAATTCTCCTCTACATCTTTGTATACTTTGGCTCCAAGTAAAATCTTCCGCCAAGCTTCTCTACCAATAAATAAATTCACAAGCAAAATAGGCACAAGGCTATTGATTTTTATTTTTCATTCCAAGTTTTGATCTCAATCTCTGAAAATCTTCAAACTTGAGAGGCTTTTTAAAGATATCTTCAGCTTGATCATGAGATTTAACATATTTGAGCTCGACTTCCTTCTTAGCAATGCATTCTCTGATAATGTATCTATATATATACTTGCTTCAATCATGGTATACTAGATTCTTCGCAAGTGCTTGTGCGAATTTATTGTCAATCAAAATCTTTGTAGCTTCAATTGTTGCAAATTGATCTCGTTCAATAATCTTCTCAGCCAAATAGCATGACATATACAGGATGTTGTTGCTACATATTCAGCTTCACAAGTTGAGAGAGTAATAATTGATTGTTTCTTTAAACTCCAAGAAATAACAGAATCATCCAAGAAAAACACAAAACCAATTGTGCTTTTTCTATCATCAATAGCTCCCCCATAATCACTATCACAAAATTCCATAAGGTTGAAATCACTATAAGAAGAGTAAAACAATCCAAAATCAATCGTACCTTTTAGGTAACGAAGAATTCTTCTAGCGACTTTCAAGTGAGTAGAGTTAGGATCTTCCATGAATCGACTTATTACTCCAATTGCAAAGAGTATATCTGGCTTGGTACAAGTCAAGTACCTCAAACTTCACGTAAGACTTTTGAAAAATGTGGGATCTACTTTTTCTCCATCATCAAACTTGGACAATTTTGTCCCACTCTCCATTGGCGTGTTCACGGGGTTACAATCGAGCATGTTGAACTTCTTCAATATCTCTTTTGTATAGCTTTATTGAGAGATAAAAATTCCATCCTCCATCTGCTTCACTTCTAGGCCCAAGTAGTATGACATGAGCCCTACATCCGTCATCTCGAACTCACGGGACATATCTTTCTTAAAGCCTTCAAACAAACTTGGGTTATTACCTGTAAAAATAAGATCATCAACATAGAGACAAACAAGCAAGATATCTCCATTAGTATGAACTTTAAGGTAAAGAGCATATTCATGAAGACAACGAGTAAATCCATTGTCTTGAAAATACTTGTCGATGCAACTATTCCATGCCCATGAGGCTTACTTCAATCCATATAAAGCTTTCTTCAACTGCAACACTTTATATTCATGGTTTTTGACCATAATTCCCAGTGGTTGTTCAACATAGACTTCTTCTTCAAGATAGCCATTCAAGAAGGCTGACTTGACGTCTAGTTGATAAATCTTCCACTTCATTTGTGCCGCAAAAGAGATCAACAAACGAATTATCTCCATGCGGGCAACAAGTGCATAGACTTCTTCACAGTCAATGCCTTGCCTTTGCTTCTAGCCTTTAGCCACAAGTCGTTCCTTGTATCTCTTCCCATCTCCATCAACATTCTTCTTTGTCTTGTTTACCCATTTTACTCCAATTGTTCGATGACCCTTGGGAAGAGTTGTTAACTCCCTGGAGTTGTTCTTCTCT